GGTATGGTGTGGTATGGTACATTTACTTATGGCAAAAAACTAAGGAAAGGGATGCCTTCGTGGAGGATTTTTCCAAGGAAAACTTGTTTGTTTCTTATGGAAACTGGTTCAAGGGAAACACGTTTACACATGGGGAAAACCATGCAAACGCCCATGCAGCCACCCCGTTCGGTGGGATTCGACGCAACATCAAAGATATGTGAAAGGTATATTTAAAACTGCAAAATTATTCTTTGCAAGAAAATGGGGCCTTTTAAAATTGTAAAAAATGTTGCGCGCACGCGATATATATCTTTATTAGAACATGCTCAAAAGTCAGCATCTGAAATACTTACTGATTTTCGGAAAACTTTTAAAGCACTTTGCATGTTATTAATTTAAATTTTAACATGGTAAAAATATTCCAGGACTGTGAAATAACATTTCTTTGTGTAAAAAATGAAAATTCTTGTACTGCAGGGAAGTTGAAGTGCTGAAAAGCATTTAAGTGTAATAGTATTTGTTAGCTGTACAACCGTGAAGCGGATATAAAACAAATTATAGAAACAAACACATCCATTTGAGGACGTACAGTTACGGTAATATGAATGAAAATACAGAATGTAACAGCTTCACTGAAAAAAGCAAATATTACAATTTAATCCTTTTAGACAATTTCCGCATTCCCTTTATATAATGAGTTTCTAGACAATGTAACATAAATATTGTGAATACAACTTTAAAAAAGAAAACGACCTTGAGAAGACAAAAACATAGATCGAATTTATTGCAGCCATTTTCAGAAACACTTTTTTATACAATTCAAGACTGTAATGATTTAAATATTTAAAAAAATATATAATTTAATTTAGATATACCATCAGCCATTTCCAAATAAGGAGCTAATGAGTTCCCAATATCACGTTTTGTTTAATAGACCCCTCTCACTCTCTCACGAGGCAGTTATGAAATGTGTCTGCCAAACCTGTTTGGGTGGCCTTTTATCTGCGTGTTATTAAACAGATTGTCTAGGGATTTGCATTATTTAAGTCTTCCTGTTAAGCTCAGGAATAGAATGGATGTGATTTCTTTCTGATTTTGCTAGATCCTCGATAATACTACATTGCAAGCTTTCGTCTTGTGTGACAAATAACTGCATTATACGTGTGAAGTAAGTACCTTTTTTTTCTTTTGCAGATATTAATAAAACTTTAGGGAAGATAATCTTCTAATCATCTATAGGTTTTTCATGAATATCGGACGATAAAATTAAATTAATTGTTATTTCACTTCTTTTACAGCACAATATCTTGAAAAGAATTAGTATCGAGTATTATCTAGTATCGAGCATTAGCACTTGTATTATCGAGTTAGTAAGAACATTTTGAAAGAAATTAACCTAATTTTTAACAATGTCCTAAAACTATGGAGAAATAATAAAGATGAACTTTGCATTGCATAGATCATCCGCGTATCTATATAAGAATAAGATTGACGTTTTCGATTTATTAGCCCAAAGGGCGTTAGCCCAGAAGGGGTATTAATTTCGTTTTGGCATGTTTCGTCGAAAATTTTAAATGACCTTTTTCATTTTTCAGATTGTTGCCACCAAATATTATCTCCCTGTGTTATATTTAAAGAAATTAAATAATGAAAAATCTGCATGAATGTATGTATGTTTCTCGCAGTGAGATAAAGCAACGGTACCTACAGCTATCCAATTCTGAATTTTGTAATCCCGAAATTTGAATTTTGAATTTATTTATCTGTTTCATACTTTGACAAACTTAAAAAATTGAGTAACAAATTCAACGATTTCAAAGCAAGCAACAGAAGCACTGCACGAAAAAAAAAAATTATTTCCAACGTGCAAGACTGTGTATCTGAAATTCGAAAGATATGCTCATTTTAAAATTATTTTGTGATATTGCTGTTGAATTGGAATTTATGGTTTAGATGCGAAGAACATGATATTTAATAAATAAAGGTAACACAAAAAACGTTAAAAAAACGCCCCTTTGGACTTAATATAAGATCTGCAAGCTTTCAGATTTTTTTTTCTTTTTTTTTTCTCTCCCTTCCCTATTTGTTTTTCCTTGTTTACCATTTTGGCTAAGAAAATACATCGATATTTGCTCCACTAATACTTGGAAAAATGTATCATATAGCTGTCATTGGTAAATTTTACTTAGGCAAATTTGTGCATATAAAAACTTTCATAGGTCTAAAATATAATAACCTCAAAGCCTATGTTATTTGATTAATTTCTCAGTTTGGAGCCTACAACTATTAACCATTCAGATGATATTTAGACGTGCAATATTTTTCTAAACGCTATCCATGTTTCTGTGCAATCTGTGAATTTGAGTTTTCTATAAACACATGCTGTAATTTGTCTCGCATATCACAACTTTCCGTGCATCTCGCGTTTTGTTTACGTCAAAGATAAAGTGCGTGCTCATTATTATTGCACGCAACTGTCTGGTATACAAGGAAACTTACTGTTGCTAAATTAATGGCCCTGACACAAAAACCTGATGAAAATCAATATGTGTAAAAATGTTAAAAAGGCCAAGTTTAGATGAATTTATTAAATTAAGACTGCATAACTGAAGTTAACATGAGGAGAAATTTCTTTTTGTGAGTTTCTTTTTGGTAACAGATTTAGTAAATATGTAGGAAGTGCATAAGTGTTTGATGAGTAATGATTCTGTCAAACAGATTGACTTATAATTATAATACGAAAAGATTAAATGATTTTCCAAGAGAGAATCTGAAGTTCTTTTGTTGTTGAAATTTATTTGTTTAAAAGTTTGCTGACGAAGAGCAGCAAATTCATTTTCTCATTGGAAGGTGTCATTTTTGTGATATACTGAAATTAAAATAAATTTTCTGATTACTATGGAATAAAATAAAATTAGCTCATTTTCATAAAACAGCCATTATAAAAGATATTGAGGAGTAAGCACATATTTTTTAAAGTACCTTTGGTAATACACATTTATAAATATAGTCTGAGGGTATCTCGCATGGTTCCGTGACATTTAGCCCACGGGAGACTTAACCGACACCAGTTAGCCGACAGGACATTTAGCCGACACCGACTCTTAGCCGACAAGTCATTTAGCCGACAAGGACACTTAGCCGATAGGACACTTAGCCGACACAGAGAGTTAGCCATCAGGACATTTAGCTACAGGACACTTAACTGTCAAGACATTTAGTCAACAGGACACACTGAGCCGACAGTGACGTTTAGTTGGCACGTACCCAATAATTATTTAAACTTACTATCAATTACAAAATTTCTAGACTTCTCCATAAGTTCAATATTTAAGTCATTTTTCACCTATCAGTAAAATTCTTTTTTCGATTCTTAAAGATCTCATAAGTGCTTTTAATTCTTGTGTAATTTAGCACTGTTTGATATGTATCGTGCTATCGGCCAAACTGAAAAAGCGTTCTCGTCAGGGATTATGAATGAATTTTTCGAAAAGAAGAAAAAGAATTTTTTTAGCTAAGTACGACGGTCACTTAATTACATTTTAATATGGGATCTTCAAAAACTATCCGTAAAGCTTCTTCATTTAATCAACTGGGTTTCTTTGAACACCTTCACATCATTGATAATTTTTCTTGTTTACTTAATGATATTAATTTTCCAAACCAGCAAAATGTCACTACATTTCTATACTACATTTGGGCATAAGTTCGAAGTTTTTAAGCTTATGCCGAATTGGTATAAGAAGTCGACCAATCAGGAGAATGTGCGAAACCTATTGAGCGGGCAAACAGAGTGGGAAACCTGTAAATACAATCCATGGATGCGTAAATATAGCATGGTTACTCCTTAAACCATGTTTCGCAAATGTGAACAGAACTCCGGTATTTTATGCTTTATGACTAGGCCTCTTTGACATTTATACCACCGTTTGAAAGGAGTCTAAGGTTTCCAAGACCAATAACAGACTCAATGCTGCGCTCCTTTGCCAAGATAAAATTTTTATTAGACTTGTTCTGATGCTGTTACCAACCAAGTAAAATAAAGTCGCAACAATAACATAATGTTCTTTCCAAAGTTTAGAATGGAATAATTCTGTCTCTCTTGATCTTTCCTCACTCTCTTAATCTTGTAGAAGAAATGAATTTGAAATTAATTTAAGGGTATGTAAGATTCATTTTAATTTCCTAATTCGTCATTTTAAGTTAAATTACTTTTCTATCGAGCCTCGTTTCAGTTTCCTGTCAGAAAGTAAATTTCCATCGTGAGCGGTATTCAAATTAGGTAGACAGAAGGAAGTACTTAGAGAAAGATTTTGGAGAGTGAAATCAGGGGTGTATGCTAGAAGGCCACGTTGCTAACTTTGATTCTCTAGCGATTAGAATTCTGCGGCGTTCAGTTATTCTTGCCATTAAGTTTGTTCACGGAGACTTTGGTCAGAGTCAGCATGCGCGATAGTTAAACTATGAAGCCGTTAGGATATACATAAACTTAATTAATTTTACGTTTACCTATTATCTTTGATTTTAAGTCAAAATGTTGGCTTCTGTAAGTATGTGTTGGTGCCGTTAGTTAAACTAATTGGAATTAATAAAAAGGTCCTTAACACCGTTTTTCTGTCTCAGTAGTATTTATAAGACACAGCAAAAAGTCACTAGCTCTTTTTCAGAGCTCTGGTCTAATTGTATGCTCCCGAAAAAGACCAGATCCTGTAAGTAAATATACTTTTACTACGCTCTCAACTTGCTGTCTACTAAATCAATATCAACTCTGTTTTACGACAAAATGTTTTCAACGGCATAAATGAATTTTAGTTTTTAATCTAAAACAATTTCTGACCGAAATCACAAAGTACTTTTGAAATTTCGATTCGAAATTTTCAATTTTTCATTTGTTTTGATTTAACAAATATTTTCTTTTAAATTCTTAAGACCTTTGGAACTTTTTATCAGTTGCAGCAAAACGCTTTTTTAAACTTAGTTGAGGTGAATACATAGTAGATAGACTTTTGTGAATCAACTAATAGCTTGGGTAAAACATAATGGCTGTCAACAAGGTTGTGCTTCATTCTTAGCTATTATCTGGCTTTATAATGACTTTTCTCAACTCAGCTGTTTTATAATCACGAGCAACACGTAATGTGTGCATCCACGCTATAGACATAATAGCAGTGGTGTAAGATTTAAATCAACACAAATATTCCCAAGGTGAACACAGTTTTAGACCATTCGCAAGTTTCATTCTTTTTAACTTCGTATGTTAGTAAAAATTCTCTATTTCCTTTGTTCTATAACTTAGAGTTTAAGATATTTTACTTTCTTTTATGAAGTAAAAGACGTATTGTAATCTCGAAAAACTTCAGGTATCACATTTCAACGAAAATATCCATTTTGACTGCTCTTAAATCCATTTAAACGATCGTTTTGCGTTACACCTGTACGTATGGACAGATGAAAGGACGTTTTTTCTTAAAACGGATTGAAAAAGAAATGGATTAAAAATGGATTCAAAATATAATTTTTGTATTACATCATATGTATCTCGCATAACTAAAAAACGTGTAGTCTCAGAACTTTGAAATTTTGTATATGGGACTGCTATAACATGCAGTTGTGCACATCCCTTTTTGGTTCAATCAATCACACTGAAAGCATATATATATATATATATACGCCCTATGTTACCCGGCTCTGTGAGATCAGTATTTTTTATTCTTTTACGTATTGATAAATCGTGCAGTTTTTGCTTTGAAAGTGATTAAAAGACGTTCTTATATTCCGGTTAAGGTTTTTACGCCTTTAGTTAATCTGCATGCAATAGCTGTAGAATTATCAAAAATTGTTTAAGTGCTACTAATCCTAGCAAAGGCGCCCTTTGTTTACATTTGAAACTCTTTGTAGAATAGTGGATTAAGTCAGTTTCTGCACCTTCAGTGTCTTTTTGCCGAGTGGGGACCAAAAGTAAGCTTTCAGTTTTGTGCATCGAAAAATCTGTCTTCTTGCCCGCTGTCTGAATTGCTTGTTTTTGCGTAGAAACTGTAATTTTAATTGTAAAAATTGTTTTTTTAATTGTTTTAACTGCATATTGTGTTTTATGTGTTTCTATATCTTTCAATTTTTAATGAAGATATTTTGGGTTTTTATGTATCGTTTGCCTGCCGCGAAGTGAGAACTGAGTTAGTTCAATGATAACTGTGTCTCTATGGAAACTTGTGGAAATAAGTTTACATGAAATGCAGTAAAAAAAGGAGTGTTATTTAATAGGTCGTACAAGGAAGTCATGTGATGTCTACATCAGATTTTTGATTTATTTATTTTTGAGTCTGTAATGAGTCTGTTCATCACGAATATATGCATACGTCAAATCACTTATCATTAGTGCAAATAGAAAAATAAAAATTAGTATAATTTGATATGCTGTACCAGGAAATCACGTGATGTCCATATCAGATATTTTATTTACTTATTAGCGAAGAAGGGCTATTAATTTCGTTGTGGCATTTTGCGTCGGTTCACCATAAATAGCGGTTCACTTTCCAAATTGTTGCCACCAAATATTAGGACCCTGTGTTATATTTAAAGAAATTAAATAATGAAGAATCTGCGTTATTATCTGTACGTTTTTCGCATTGAGATAAAACAAAGGTACCTAGAGCCATCAAATTTTGAAAAATGTAATCTTCCACTGAATATGGGCATCTGGAAGCCCGAATTTGGAATCTGAAATTTGTTTTATTATCGATTTCATATTTTGTAACACTTTAACGAATTTTTGGCTAACAAAATTAACGATTTCAAATACTGTACGAGGGGAATTTTTTTTTTCTCGCGCGCACGGACACTGTGTATCGGAAATTCTAAAGATATGCTCATGCGATTTTGCTGTTGAATTGAATTTTATGGTTTAAGTGCGAAGAACATGACATTTAATAAATAAAGGTAGCACACAAATCGATAAAAAAAAAACGCCCCTTTGGGCGTAAGGTAAAATCTGAGGGATTTCATTTTTTTTTTTTTTTTTTTTTTTTTTTTTTTTAGGGTCTGTTCATCAGAAATATATCCATACGTCAACTCACTCATCATTCGATCAAATAAAGAAATAATCACTAATTTGTTTTGTAGTGTTGTAGTGTTTGGCGAATTCAAAAATGATCAATTACAAAATGAAATAAATAGCTACACATATTAGTTCATTTTATGTTCATTTAGAGCCATTTAAAGAAATGTGTACATTTTCTAAACATGTGAAGTGCACAAAATGTTTTGATATTTCATATGAAAACTTTAAACAACTTATTTATTGCATAAAAGACACACAAGGGGATAAGGTTTGAAAGCAACTTATTTACCGTATTTACTCGCGTAGTCACCTTCGCGCAATAGTCGCACTCCCGTTTTGAAGCAGAAAAAATCATCAAAAGTCTGCAATATTGTTTAGTACATTTTTCCGCATAATAGTCGGAGCTAGACTTTCACAATGAAAAATTGGCAAGAAAAGTGCGACTATTACACAAGTAAACACGGTATTACTTTGATAAATAAAATTTAAATAGTGCATGATTCATCAACCAAAACAATTGTTATACCTTGTAGAAACATTAGAATATTTTGGAAGCAGGAGACTTGAAAAATGAGCAACGCCTCGGAACACGGACCCCTGGAATATGCGCCCAGCGTGCAGACCACTACACCACGAAGACATGCTAGAAAGGCTGGAGAAATACCTTATAACCTTTCAAAGGATTTTCTGCATGTTCAATTTAATGCAATGCCATAAGTGGAAGAAATTAATCACAAATGAATATTAATGCATAAAAATAATTTATGTTTATGATTTATATATGAACATGCTTCTCATTCGTAAACGAATAATTTTTATACTCTCTCATGCATAAAAGATAATTTACAAATGAACCTTCATGCAGGGTACAGTAAGTTAAAGCATGACATCTTTGATAAAACTAATTGCAATTAACATAATATTAACATACTATTTTAAGTCAATTTTCTGCGGCAATGTTTTGGTATTTAACCAATTGGTCAGAAGCCTTATGAATAGTTGCGAAATGATGAGGTATCATTCAAATATATTTTTTACACTATTGCCTTCGGAATTTGATACTTTTATTGGTAGCAAAAGCTTACATTTTGATTTGAAATTCATCCAATTTTTAAGAGTTAATCTGAATTTTTTATCTTTCAAAATAAATAAATAAAAGGAACAGTAAGTGAATACTTCAAAACATTGTACTTTTACTAAATCCACGCTTAGTATTTTAAGGGAATTCGCAGTAGAATGTATGAGCTTTGATTAGTAATTATAAAAGATAAAGCTAATTAATTTAAGTAATTTAACTTGATAGAATGCTTCAGTTTTGTAGCAAAACTTTGTTTCTCGAGAAACTTATGTAGTTTTCCGAGGGGGTAATCAAAAACAAAAAAGTTTAGTTTTAAGGAAAAAATTTTACATGTTTTTACTTTAAGAAAAGTAATTGTCAAGAATTAAATGTTAATAAAAAGACCAATGTTAATAAAAAGACCAATTAAATGTTAATAAAAGACCAAAAAATGTTAATTAAAGACCAATTCCAAGTGTGGGATACAGAAAAGACAACTTAAGTCTTAAAATCTATATGCGTAGATATTATTTTGGAATAAGAATTAAGCTTTAAATAAATTTATGTTTTGCGGACATTTCCTTAAAGCAACTGATCGAGTTACTCCTAATGCAATACCTATACTTAAAATCTAATATCTTAATATCTAACAATTTTAATATACAATGATTAGTACAAAATTTAATATACAGTGTACCTAGTCCAAATACCTGCAATCAAGTCTTAAGGTCTAATATTTTAATAACAATACCTAATCTTAATATATTTTCCAATTCAAATTAGAATAAAAGTATTTCATAACTGTAGTCCTTTGAAAGCAAAAATGAATCAGATGGACTCTGCGTAACTGAAATCCTTGAAAGACGACATGAGAATAAATAGAAGTTAAACATAAATTTTGGAATTGCATTTGCTTTTATGCATGCTTCTTACCACACGTCGCTGTCTGAGAATTATTTCTTAGTATCAAGCTGGCAGCAAGTCACGCTTTCATTGACTCACGTGCATCTTACCCAAAGTTTGAAAAAGTTCGTGCTTATTGTTCGTGCTAGGCGTTATGAGATGCACGCAATGGTTTTATGAGTCTATTGTAATGTTTTCTTGTCTTCATTTCAGGAGATGGATTCGATTACTGGGATGATGAAGCGTACCAAGTGGAATACTCATCACGTTCACTGAAGTGATATTTGGAAAAGTCAGCTTCAATTGGATTGTGGGAGAAATTTCCTTGTAGAAATCTTAACTATGCCTTCGGCAAGAAAAAAATGCATCTGCCAACTATGCACTTGCGGGTAAGTTTCTTTGACCTTCACTCTTACGGAATGTCAAACACCTATAGTAGTACAAGCACAACAAATTAAAATATAAAATATGGAAAGATTTCTCAGATCGAAAGTATCGTTAATTCCAAAATGAGGATGAAAACTGCGCTATTAATATTTTTGTCCAACCAAGCTAGATATTTCAGGCCCAGTTTCCGTTAAAAATAATATGAAACAAGCGTATCCTATATCAGTATGCAACAGCTGATGCTAAATAGCATTGGTCTTGTTTGTGAACAGTGCTATTAACATAGTACTAAATATAGAATTAACATAGAGTTATATTAACATAAAATATAGTTGCTTAGCTAAAAGCTAAGCCTGAAAAGAGCTCGTACCTTTATAGCATCACTGCAACTGAAAAACAAATTTGCTGATAACTTAACTAATGGGTATCTTCAAACAACTTGCTCAGAAAATTTTGGTATTATTCCCTAGGTACATTTATGTGTAGTGTTTAGTTTCGAAGGCGGTGGTGGTATAATAACGCAAATTGATAATTTTCCTTGAAAAGTGCCTCAAAGTGTTTCCTCCAAGAATTAAATTTATTCGTGGTAACCAGATATATGAGTTTTATTACAGTATTGATGATAAAAGGACAAAACGAGACTCTGCATCTGTGGTAGTATAAATGTTAGAATCACCAGTATTTGAAGCTACTTTTCAAGAGAAAGAAGGAAATTGGTAGTGAAAATTAATATGATTATTTTATTCTCCATAGCTTCCTTATATCTGTCAAGCTGCAATAGATGGTCGCTTATCGTCAGCTATAACGAACCTGAAGTGGCTAGACCTCTTGTACGTAGAAGATAAATGTTAAAATTTACAAATGCTCATGAGCCACATCTACAGGAGTTGGGTAGAAATAGTGGCAATATGTCGTAGTTTTAAAAAATCTTTATAACTATAGACACATTTGCAATCCTTCAGTATAACTGTCTGCTGACCACTGTCTTCTGTCAAGCTATTGAAATGCTTCGACACCCTCAGCATGTCTGTTGATGTCCTCAGCGACTGTCCTAAAGCAGAGATATCAATTCTCTCTACTTTGTAACAAGTCTTTTGCAGTAGTTCTTTCATTTTGATGAAGAAATCGTAATTTCAAGCACTCGTATCAGATGAGTATGGCGTTTGTTTCAGTACCTCCCACCGCTATTCTCTCAGGAGAATCTCTGAGATAGCTCTCGCATTAGAACACCACACATTGTCATAGAGGAGGAGGATGTTCGTCACCGAAGACACCATATACGTCCAAGACTCAGAAAAAGCACTCAGGAGAATTTCTGAGATTCTTCGCCTGATATCAACGAAATTCAAGAAGCGTTCTGTCCACCAACCACAGAAATGAAAGTGGCTATGAACATCGTAGTTTTGTTTATGTTCCGCATGGTATGAAAAAATGAAAACAAAAGAGAATTTTATTAATTTTTGCGTATTTTCCGGCAATTTGTATCGTTTGTTTCAATACAAGATTAGAAATTACTCTTATTAGAAATTATTCAGACTGTTACAAATTACTCAGATATTTTCAGCAAAAATTAAAGGAGTTTCCTCAGTTGCTTTTCATTATTAATTATTTTTTGTCAACTGATATTTTGTTTATTAGTTAAGACTATTATGGTAAAGCGCGTCGACGTGGATCGAACTACTGGTAATCATCAGGGTTTTTGCTCCGACACTGGTGACCTCCAATTAATGTTAAGTAATGTTTAGTTTAGAAAGAGATATTTCTAATAAAATAATTCTTAATCAAAATATATATGTTAAATAATTTATTGCATGTAATTAAAACCGTTTCTGTACAATGAAGTGAAAAAAGTAACTATTTAAAAGCAGCGCGAAATAATAATTTTAACTAAACCATAATATCTTAAAACGATTAATTAGACACGTTGTATATTTTTTTACAAAATCGCTATTTTTCTCTGATCAGCCATAGCGAACGAGAATTGGGGTAACACTAGTTTCAATAAAATGTTCTGCATGAAATTGTGACAAACCATTTCAATTATTGGAAAATGTGCCCATACCGAGTACTAAATACGATTATCAAATCAAGCGGCAAATTTCTGTGAAGATTCAATTCAGAAGCTGTTATAATGATATGATAAGGGTCTTAATGTAGGTGGAAAATTCGTTGAAAAGTAGATTAACGCCCAAAGTGTCGTGTAAAAATAAAGTAAAAGAAAACTGACGTCGTGATTATATTTATCTAAGAAACATGTCTCTATGCCCAATTCACAGATGTTTGAATCATTATCCTTGAGTACCAATAGTGGTACATCTGACTCGAAGTGAGAAATTATTGCCAGCACAGAAACTTATATAACAGGGGTGGACAGACTTCATGTCATTAAAAGCCACATGTTGAAATTCAGGAATATTCGAGAGCCAGAACTAGACTTCCCCAAAATCACAAATCAATATTTACATCAATTTAAAAGTAGCAAAACTGGTTTGAAATGAAGGACATTTAGTAATGTTAGTTTCAATGTATATATTTTATTTGCACAAGAGCCGCACGCGGCTCGCGAGCCGTGAGAAAAATTCGTCTTTGTTCCTTGAAGCATTAATCAAATAAATATGTTACGTATAAAATAAAAAAGAACTTTGCGATATTGATGCTGTAGAACGTAGACGGTTGAAACTGTAATGGACAGCGAGAACTTTCATGTCGTAGAATGTTGAAATGCCGATCCACAATGAATAGGAAACGGGCATCCTACACAGATAAAATCTTTATTTTTGGCCACCTCTGTTATATAATAATATATGTAGACATTGCTTAGAAGTTTAGTTTCGATTTTCTTGTTTATTTTTCAAAGGCACCCGCTAGGCATTTTCCTGTGTATTTACATTATGTACTGTACCAATACTGTATAGCTCAAGTTTTGGTGAAATTTACGAGATTATTGCTATGCATTTCTGAGTTTATTTCTGTGCATTTCCATTGTAAAAATTAATTGTCATTAATTTTTACAATGGAAATGCACAGAATTAGGTCTCAGATATTAGGCGGTTTGAAAATAGTGAGCCCTTGACAACAAGTGGTTGAAAAATACTGATTATAAATGAGCGTGCAGCTTTATTCTTTATAGAGCTGTAATTTTTTTTTTCAGTTTGGAGAAGCGTTTTATAAAATTAAATTAATACATTGATACACACTCAGTAGAAGTATCTGGTTTGAGATATGTACGCTGATGGAAAATGAAATCCCGCCACCAAAAAAGAATGGTGCTAAATAAACGAAATGTATGAGAAATGCTTACAAATCTGAAAAATGACATTTATTCAAATTTCGGACTAGAGGATTAAGTAGTGCTAGTAGAGCCGCTATGAATATGTAAATCTTGTGTGTTTTTAAGTACGTGATGCAAACATCGCGAGAAAAATTCGTCTTTGTTCCTTGAAGCATTAATCAAATAAATATGTTACGTATAAAATAAAAAAGAACTTTGCGATATTGATGCTGTAGAACGTAGACGGTGAAACTGTAATGGACAGCGAGAACTTTCATGTCGTAGAATGTTGAAATGCCGATCCACAATGAATAGGAAACGGGCATCCTACACAGATAAAAATCTTTATTTTATTTCGATAACATGTGGCCACAAACAATTTGGCACATTATTTGTGCCTATTTCAAGAGGTTTACATTTTTGATAATTTTGCAGTAAGAACGAAGCAGCAGACAGCATTCCAGTTAGGCCGAAAAGTAGCGAGCGAGTGCTTTATGTTCAGGATGAAATCCTAATTCAGACTGAGTTAGTTTTGGTTTCCAGTGCATTTTGATTGGATAACTAATATTACTGTAAAATTATTATTGGCTGTTTGAGTTTTACTTCCATTTACACCATCAGAATTATGTAAGAGTCATCTGATATAGAGTAGTTTCGAAATGGCACAGTGCAAAGAGAGATTACTATTTTTAGAATAGAGAGGGGAAAATAATTTATGTTGCTAATTTAAATTATAATTTATTTTTTGTGTATTCTTAATTTTTCTTACATCTTCCTTCTTCAAGGAGAAAGAAGCGTAGCGACAGAAAAGCGTTTTTAAAGAAAATGCTTTACAGCAGCAGCAAATGAAGACAGATGTAAATCATCAAATTTTGACCAAAATAATTAATTTAATTTTTATAAAATATTATTTTTTAGTATCAATTTTTTGAAAATTCATTTTTAGAGTCATTAAATTTTTCAGCGTTTCAGCCTAAATATCTTTCTGTTTTATAGTTCAGATAGTAATTCTTCAGAGAAAGCTTTCGTTATTACAGAGTATAGCAAAAACTTCTTCGTAACCATTACTTATTCTAATTAAATGAAACATATAAAAGTTTACGACATTTATTTCCTCATCGGTCAATTATATTTTAACATCAAGAACATAGGAAGAGTAATATTCCAGAAGTTAAGGTTTCACTGTTATCTTTTCATTTGCAATTTCTTAATTTATTGAACTAAAAGGCCTCGCTTTACTTCTAAAGAAACATTTCCATCAATAAAGCTATCCACTTGAGCTAACTAATGTGTCTGTTCTGGAGCAGTGGTTCAGGGATGTTATAAGGTGATCATCACCTTATACACGGAACACCTTATACAAGGAACGGGGCATACTAATACATTCTGCACTAATATATTCCGTAATAAAAAAGTATAACAATAAGAACATTTAAAAAAATTAAATTCAATCGTAAAATGAGAACCTTCAACATGATGTTATATAAGGAAGGTAAAAGTAACAACTGCATGGAGGAAATAACAGGCCTCTGTTTGGCAACCAGTACTCCCTCAATATACTCTATACATAACATAAAATTACTTATAAATTTTAACATGCATTTACCATAATTTCATATTACTTATCTGTATTAATTTCACTTTTTTTTTTACATTCACTTCATTCTCAGAATAATTATAAAACTCTTAACGTTAATTCAAACAGTTTAAATATAACTCATTAATGTAATT